TCGTGTTTCGGTTGGAGTGTGATACGGAAGATACGGAAGCTTGGCATTTTAGTTCTCTGGAATGGCAACGCATAGTACTATGGGAGTTACAGGATGACGTGTTGTCCCTAACCACTGTTTATGTACGAGTACCTATATAGCGACGGCTACCAGTGGGCGGCTGTCAGCTTGTTTGCTATTACAAGTAAAAAAGGTACCTATATTTTGGTAATGAGTAACTTTTTATAAATAGGTATCATCCGTAATTTCAATAAATTTGTCTGTAGGTAGATCTTTCAGCTGATGTATAGTGGAATAACTAAAATAATTAGTTGGTTTTTTTATTGAATTGTTAAATCTTAGTAATGATTAAAATTGGTGTGTATGTATATCCCTAATCATCTAAGATATAGATATCTTCTTCTCCTAATGATCATCTGTGTGAATAGACTGGTAACTTTTTGTGTTTTTACTTTATCACACCATGAAATATTACATATTTCGTGTATCATATATAATTTGATCTGACGAAAACATTTTAATATGACATGAACTAAGTTGCTGTAACATTATACATATATATTTAATTTAATTAGTACCTTAATTAATAATAAATTCACTTTTTACTGTCTCCTGAAATTACGCGTACAAATATGATTGAATACAATATATGAATATGTAAATAAATATATATATATATACCATTGTAGGATTATATAAATAACTAATTTACGACATATTACTCGGTGAATTCCCATATAAACTACATAGGAGTGAAATAAGTCCTGAAAGAGTCACACACACAAATTACAATTAAACAGTACTTAATAGTAGTAATAGGTAGATAGCAGAAGTAGTATGGTAAAGAGCCTTTCATATATATTAGCATTTTCATTAGTCATGTTATTAATGTGTGTAATAATTTTAAATTTTTATTATGAATTTTTAGATATTCGTTATTTGGTTGAGAGGTCATTGCTATTATGGATGTGTATTTGTAAATGTCCTCCCAATGTGGGAGAAACCCGTGCTTTATAGATAATGGATTGTTATGCAAACGGGAAAATTGGTAGGATAGCTAGAATTACTGTTAATTTAGTCACCAACGACAAATTTAAACAAGCGAACTTAAAATTGTGTATATTTCTTACATTTTATTTTTTGTGAACTTCCTTTATTCTGTATTTTTCTAGTCGCATTTTTTATGCTACAGTGGACTTTCAAGGACGCGCCCCAGTTGATGGTAAACAGTTACCCTCGAATCGACAGGGGGTACAGATTACCAGTAATAAAATGTCGAATAAGCACGCATTAAAAATACTATAAAGTAAATACGATTATTTTTCCAAAATTTTAGCATTTTTTTAATTTAAAAATGTTTATCAAAAATCAAACATTGCAAAGCAAAGTTTATTTGGAAAATGCTCCATATGAGTATTTTCTTTATTTCTTATGAGTACTGCCACACTTTTTTATACTTCTACTATCTTTTTTTTTATGCTTCTACTTTTTTTTATTATCTAGTCACTATTTATATATCAATGTGTATTACTATTTAACTATATTGAAATAGGTATATCTAATACTTACATATGTACAGATAAAGGCAATGACACATGTTGATAATAAAACATTAAGTACCTACTTGGTTTGTCTCTACAGTATTTGAATGCGTAATAATGAATATATGTATCTGTTAGTCTATTCCACTACACGTCCTATGTCGTTGTTCACTCATGCATAAACGAAATATCTTCTTTGGAAAGTATATCTATCCTTAGGAGATAAAAACCATTGCTCCTAAGTATATCCTTCAATCCTAAGAAGTCCCTAACAGGTCTAAGTAGCGAACTTTGAAAAAGAGCCAGCACAATAGATGTATGTAGGACGCAGTGTTACAGGTCTTAGCAATTGACAAGTTCTCAAAAACATAAATAAAAAAAAATCTATTCCAAGTACGAGACGTAGGTTTACTAAGTATATTATGGTATTATAGTTTACGGTATTGGTTTCGATGTCACTAATAATTTACTTGTTTGTCCAGTTTGGTACTGGCATGTACAACTACTGGTGTGGTTAATGTAGGTATTTTACCTACTTATCTATATCAGAGAATAAATATTACATTTTGATTTTTTAATTTTAAATTTTTGTCTTTGACTGTACCTACGTAGGAAATACCTTGCTCAATGTCTCTGAACAAACATGATTACTAATGTTTACATTCCAATGCACGACATTTGTAGCAGTATGATTCATCGAAAGATGATTTTTGACCTAATTGATAACTAATTTACCTTATCTTTTTATTTTAATTATATGAAGTTTAATATCACCTTACTTTTATCACTTCGTTGTACGTTAATTGTACATTATTGCGATTAATTTATTTTCTACACCTAATTTATTTTCTACAGATGATAATATCTGTCGAAGAAAATTTGCGCCTATACTTTATATATACAAATTCAAATTCAAAATATCTTTATTTAAGTAGGTCTATTACAGACACTTATGATATGTCAAATCTACCGTCAGTTCAGAATGATTTCGAGATGAGAATAACTGACAAGAAACTCAGCTTGTATTCTTTTCAAATTACTGTAGTAGTACATGTTTACAATAATACAGATTGTTTTTTTTGTACAAGTTTGGGAGAATGCATTGACCACCAGCATATAAAATAGAAGTACTATACGCAGGTCAACAATTACGCAGTCTATAAATACAAAGTCATTAGAATTTTTAGACTTGTCAGAAAATACAGTAAAATGTTAGGTACATCCTTCACGTTGTAGCGAGGCTCATAAAATGTTCATATCATAAGTAGTGTGACTGTGGCTTAAAGACGAATGGGAAAGCATCTTATTTTTTTAGTTAATTAAAAATAATACATATATAGACTATACTTTATTTGCGCTATATATGTATATGAAGAGAAAACAAGTTATATTTTATCAGTAAAATAAACATTACAAATATGTTTATTATAAGGCGACTTTGTCGAAAGCAATTTTTTCATGACAACCATAGAGTACTATGTACAATTGAAGCAATTGCACCCGGCACATTGCAAATTGGAATAAGTAAAAATAATAATATAAATAACGACAACATGTTAATTATAGAAACGAATTAATGCAAGTAAGTAAGTAAATAAATAATTATAAAAATAAAAATTTTAATCAAATTGTTTTCATGTTATTGTTACATCATATAAAATTTGAGAAAGTATGTTTGTCTGACGGTAACATATTTTTACAAGACTAAATGGAATTGAATGAAATTTGACATACAGATGTATGAGGATGGGCATAAGTTATCTTTTATCTAACATATAATCTGGAAGAGGATCTGAAATACTGGATGAAAGTTTGTGCAGACGAATTTCTGTGATATTATTTACTTATATTTCCAAAATCGTCGTATGAACTAACAGATTTCTGTATGTTCATTGTAATAATAGTGATTTCATTAGAAGTTAATTACGTATGTACCTATTAAAACACGACACTTACAGACAATACTAGTATTTATTTTTTTATTGACTAAATGAAACGTAATCTAATTTTTATCTAACCGAAGATACTGTTTACCGGAACTTTACCTACGTGTACCAGTTATATCTTGTTCCGTGAGAATTTTAGAAAAGCTTATAATAACAGGAACAAGTTGTTAAAGTTGCAGATTGTATCACCTACTTTGTACCTGCGAAGTAGCTGGGAAAACAAGCGCGTAATAGAACTGTACCGGGCCCACAATCTGATTGATTAGGTGCTACTAAAAAGTAATATTTTACTAACAATGTCGAAATTTATACGTCTTCTGTATTTCTGTATTTATATTATAATTATTATAATGATACTTCATTATAATAATTTGTATATTGTGCTTGACAAAATTTAATATATCCGTTTGCTTTTTTACTAACTTCTAACAATATAAGTGATACGATCTACAATTCTTTAGTCTTTACTTTGCACTTATTTTAACATAACAGAGAGTCTCAGGACAAGTCTCTATATCGAAATCAAAATTTTTATTACGTTTATGGACGCTGACAAAGTAAGTAAAAATATTGTTGTAATGCCGATTAGAGCATGTGCATCCAAAAACCGAAAATAATTTGTATTGCTGTCGAAATCTAGGCATTTGTAAGCAGCGAAAATATATGGCTCTATGCAACATGTAAACGTTTGCGTCATTTGTCGTTACACAATGAGATTGTGGGATCTAAGTGTCGATGCAAAACATTACACACCAACTCTGTGCTGCCTCAGGCGGTTTAGAGGTTTTACTGTACTTTTTACTGCTAATTGCCATCATCCTAGGCGTATTAGCTAATAGCTATACCATATGTTTCAATCATACAAGTTAACTTTATTCAAATTAAAAAATAGTTCTGCATCTGGTACATGCTACGTATATAGCTGTGGCTAGTAATTAAATAATAATACGTTGGACATTAATATTTATAAACATTGATAATAAAACAGTACCTACTTGGTTAGTGTACACATTATTTGAATGCGTAATATATATATATCATATATAATATATATGTCCGTATAGATATATATATTATATCCTATATGATATATATGTTAGTGTATTCCACTACACATCCTGTAGCCCACTCCTAAAAGTAATATCTTTTTTGGAATGTATACACTCTATCCTGAGGAGATAAAAACCATCGCTCCTAAGAATATCCTTCAATTCTTGTCCCTGACCCGTCTAAGTAGCGAACTTTGAAAAAGGGCCAGCACAGTTGATCTATGCAGGTCGCTGTGATACAGGTATTAGTGCCTGACCATAGCTCAAAATATTCAATTAAAAAAAATGTCTATTCATTAAAACAAGTAATAATGGAATTACTCCTAATGATTAGCCGTGTGTATATTCTTTTAAGCGGTACTAGGGCGATATTCCATTCTGTGTGATACGAAATCACATTATAAATCACATACGCAATGGAAATAATTAGTACTGCCTTTCTGTAACATTCGTTTCCTTTACAGACGATTAACGGAACGTGTCAACGAATTGTTACACACGGAGAACGTGTACGTGGACCGATTGAGGCATGTTGTTGAGAATTACATGCCGGAATTAGGTCTGAAGGGGAATGACACTCAAATGCCGCCGTTACTGGTGCAGTTAAAGGCAGCTATCTTCGCCAATATTGAAGAGGTGTACAGGTTTCATTCCGAAGAGTTCCTGCCGGCATTGAGAGACTGTGAAAATGATCTTAGGAAATTAGGACAATGTTTCAGAAGATTCGTAAGTTTTTATATTATCTTTTTTACAAATATATGACAATAATGAATGTTTTATTATATAAGACGACGATTCTTATATTGATATGTCAATCAACGTGATTTAGCCTCTTTTATGATTTTTAGCCAATATCGAACAGTCCAATTTTGTATGATTTTTATCGTAATTAGCTTACGTAATTAGCGACATATTTCAATCATGTATCAATTTTAAAAGTGTGTTGTTTGCTAAAAATGTTTTCTACCAGCGATATCGCTAAAAAAAATGTACTTTGAATGGGAAGCGGCCGTAGAGATACCAAGATTAAGTATCACGTCATGCATTTTCTTGAGTTATTAGTAATGCACGATTCTTTGGCACAGGTGTCGCCATTATAGTGTTCTAGATTTTTCTATCTCGATTTCATTTGGTGAAAGTAAAAGAATTTCTCTACAATTATTCTCACTTAAATAATTGTATAACCGTCTGAGGTTACATTATATGTATTTTGTTTTTGGGGAGGTTCTGTCATACATTCGATGTCATGACATAAAGGTATGAAAAAATTGGGTGGTCATTACCAATAAGCCATTAAAAATAAATATTTATAACGAGAATATTAAAGTCGGTTAAATTTGACGCCCTCGGTGATATAGCGGTTTAGAACACCGCCTTGCTTCCTCGGTCGCTACAAATATTTGTAGACATGAGTATGATTGTTTGTATCGGTCTAGTTTCTATATATATAATATGTATGTATTTACAAGAAAAAAATATCTATGTATTTATTAACGTAAGCTTAGACTGGGACATGAGTGCGCTGTGTGAATTGTCCTGATATATTATATTTTATTATCAATTTTTAGTTCCCACATGATATTTTTATGTAGTGTGCTCTATATACATTACCATGTAAATACTTAAATAGATTCAATGGACTTATTTTTTTTACAGGAGCAAAAGTTTAATATGTACGTGATGTACTCTAGGAAAAACAAGAAAGCAACAAAACTAGTTCATGAATATAAGACCTTCTTTCAGGTGAGTTGTTACTAATATTCAATTCGGGAATTATTTTGTATTCAAAGATTATGTTGTATTGTTGGTATGTTATCAAATGATATTATCTATTGTTTTATTGATAACACTAAATGGATATCTATGCATCGAGTACATGAAAACGATCTACATATGAACGGGATTACCTTGGGAATGTTATTTAAATAATATATCATAATATAGTAGATCGTATAGTGATTTGATAGAATAATACTTTATAAAGAATAAGATTCGACTGTGTATAATGTTTCTTCCTCTGTAGATATTAAATATTTCCACATACTTTCAATAATATAATAAATAAAAGCTTCTTACTAAATTAAGAAGTTAAAGAATACAGCGGCGCTATGAATTGTAATTTGTAAATATAAATTTCAGTAAATCCCAATAAAAAGAACACAAATTGTAGCTAAGGACAATCTCCATATCGTGTAATCATCGATCCGTTACATTAGGAGCAACGATACCTTAGACAGACATACCGATGCATAGCCACTTCAAAGTTATAGCATTCCACTTTTTTTAATCATATTGGTTTATTAGCTAAGTTAGTTTTTTTGCTAAACGTTCCCGTAAAATCCTAATTTTTATAAAGATTCAATACTTCTTCAGATAGCCAGCCTGATAATATTTTACTTGCAATATAAATTATAACAGAGAGTTTCTTTTACAAAGTACGCTGTGCTTCTGCCTCACCTATTTTAGTGGTCAAGCAAGTTGCTTTGTGAGATATGTTTCAGTTGAATGCAGTGATAGGATAACAGGAAATAGAAGCATAACTTCATTCTCTGGAATTGCAACGTATCACGGGCGTCACATAATAATGCGATGTCCGTAGTGCTGTTCATGTCCATAAGCGACGGTTTCAACTTACCGTTCCCATGGTCCGTCAATATCTTTGCCATTTCTAATAAAATTATTCTTCTTATAAATTTATATTATTAATAAAGTTATTCGTTATTTTTCCCATGTTTTAATATTTTATACGCTATTTGGAATTTAGGGATTGTACTCAGAGAAGTTAAATAAATCAAAGCTCATAAAAATTAGTGTAGCCATTCTTAGTTATAAATAGTATAACTAATCCGTCCGTTTATATTTTGATTTATCGGAGAGATTAGGAATTAGGTAACTATTACTTAAGAATTGAAATTTATCTTTAGCGGCGTCAAAATAGTTTTCGTTTAAATAGGCGATACCTACATACTTTAAAGTAAAACAGAATGTTTATGTACGTTAATTAATATATTAATATACGTTGTTTATTTATGGAATTCGGATTTATAATCTATTTTTTAAACTTGTTTTCAATTTTCAATTCATCTATTCTTTGAATAAATGTTATGCTTACCTTCAAACAACGTTTCTAATGTATATATAATTTAGAAATAAAGAAGAAGAAGCTCATTAGTAGAGTTTCATGAACTATAACTATTTTGTATAAATGACTACCCATGACTAATTACTGATTTACAATTACTTACAATCGGGTTTACTCATGTTTAATTTAGGTATAATTTATCCCGTTTTGCGGCAATTGTTTTATATTTTTTGTTACACTATGATTTTTGAAGAGGCCGACTTCATATTAGGGATTCATACTTTTTCTGTAAAAATAAACGAGTAGACGTAAAACAGAAATAAATAATATATTATATATATAGTAATATAGTAATTACATTTAACTTTTAAATCAAATACTAAAATTTTAGTAAAACGGTAAATTCAAGGTCCAGGACAACTTTTGAAATACGTTATGCAAGGCAATACGCGAAAGTAGTTTAATTCCACAACGCTGTACCCTTATTAAATTATATTTTATGTAAGCTAATTACGTTGCGAGAGATACAATTTCGTTTTCGAAATATTTTAAATTCAGTGTATCGTTAAGTCTCAGAAATTTACTTTTTTGGGCTTTGCTTTAACTCAAGAAGTTTGTTTTATGAAGCAGACAATGTAGTTTACAGCTTTGTAACAAAATGGCGTCTACTGCATTGTTTGTGGCACTGACCTTTGATTACAAACGATCAATGTATATCAGCGCGGCATGTCAGATGTAGAGGCAAATTGTCATGTGAAACAAATTGATCGTTGCATTATCGTGTTCTCGAGCATGCAGCGGTAGCGACATCGCTTGTCCGTGCGTGCTATTATTTCCTCATTTTGTAATGTAACTTACGGTGTGCGGAATTGTGAGCAGCATCTAACTGTAGACATTACCGTTACACGTGATAATACGTGTTAAAAACCAACATAGTGGTCACAAGAAAAAATGCCGTTGGAAATTAAAATTTGTAACAATTTTTATCCACAGCTTGTTCCGCTTAGTTCCGCGAGATATAAGTGGGTTGGTGGAGCATACTTATTGAACAACATGAATTCCTTACCGATTTTCCTTTACATTACAATGATTACATTCAAGCTATAATTACAAAGAAACTTTAATTAATTGGTATATATTTTGCTTGTTTAATACTTTCTACATTGAATCTTTAGATATCTATTATATAATATGTTACATACTTCTAATTGTAAAACAAACCAAATAATGATTTTCGATATAATTATAGGTTTTAAGTTAAACACGAACAAAGATCAACACAATGCGTACGTCTCACCTATGCCAGTTGTGGCAGTTAACGCTAAATCAGAAATTGTTGATAAATTTGTCTACTTGAGACAACTTGTAAATAAATTTAACGTCGTCCGATCGGTCAGTGAACGAATCCAATTTAGTTGGCCAGTGTTTTACGTCATACTTGCGTCTATGTTTGTTTTACGTCACACATTCTTCCAAAATCGTTTTCCATTTGTAGTCTTATATGTCTAAGTCAGTTTCAATGCTAAATAGCAACATGACTAGGAATATTGCAATAGAATTAGAGCGACTATTGGAACTATTAAATAAACTAATAATTTATATTTATGCTTTAAAAATTGTAAAATTAAATGACGATATTCTTTTAGTATAAGTATATAAATGCATATATATATATCGTTACTATATATTACATTAATCATTATCGATAACATCTGAGACATTACCCAGACAACATGGGGTCGGGAAAATAGTCAAGTGAATTTATCTCGGCCGGTTTAACTCAGCAAGCAATCACCCCCTGCTCTGATAGTGTAATCTACTATTCAGACAATATATGGAAAATGTTCTCCTTCAGAAGATATACTTTCTACTAGTACTGTATTATGTTATCTGTGAGTTGATGAAATAAAAGAACAAACATTACTCTGACTCTTGTGAGTCTAGATCGTAATAAAGAATTGTTAGTAGGAATAAGAAATGAAAGAGAAATCAGAATGTTATTTATTTCTTATTACTTATAGGGAAATTTCTTCTACTTTGCATATATATGGCACAGTATGATTGAATCTAAGTTATGTAAACAAAGCAAACATTTGTAGTTCGGTACTTCTTGAATTAGTTTATTTCGCCGTTAGGGAGATATGACGAGTTCTTGGGGAGACATCAAATGGCATAAATGAAGAAAATCGCTTAAAAATATAATAATTACAGCGCTGTATAACGTAATATTATAGATGGGATAATTAGAGGAATTTCAAAAGAATAACCATTTAATGCATGGAGATCTACTTGATACATTTAGTTTTCGTTAGTACATTTATGTAGTTTTTTTTAGTGACCATATAAAAAAAATTGAGGGTGACAATTTTTTTCTGAAAAATCTGACCATACCCCTGGATGCTAATGTAAATATATTAGCATGGTGAAAGTTTATATTATTGTTGCGCGCCATTTCCTTTCTAACCTACTCAGTCTACTTGTTCGGATAAATTCTGCTCCAGTAATCCCACTTCTCGATCGTGATCACATATCATTCGACCCAAATTGCTCACAAAAGCTGGTGAAAGGCGATAAAATGTTATTGATACTAATATATTAATGTTTAACGTTGACGAGAAAATGTTATGATCGTTAGTTATCGATCGAATACTATCAGGAGTTACAGTTTTCACATAATTTGGTTTGCGGGAAACGCTTACAATTTTTTCACCGTTTTATATAGTGACGTGATTTATGTCAAATAATTTTTTTAATATAAGTTGTTAGTTTTACTATTATTTATATACTTTATGTTGCAGTACTAGTTATAAATGGAAAAAATAATCAGATTTTCTATCTTACCTTATACCCTATCTTTATCCTTAATACTTTCAATGCATATCCAGATCTATTTTGCAATCAACAATATTTACACCAAAAATATAGAAACATTGGTTCAAAGTGCACTTTCCGTTAGTAGTCAGTTTGCTTTTAACGTTTTAGGATATGAAACAAGATCATGAATAGAATATGATATAGTTGGTATAGTCGCCAATACAGTGCATATATTATCCCAAGAACATAAAAGTTTAAATACTATAATGTTCTTGGGGTAATATGGAATTTTAATTTGGAATGGCCGATAAATTCACTAAAGTACTAGTGTTTACATAATCACGTGCCTTCGTAATAATACCCCTCATGCGTTGCTACTCCTGAGAACTTAGATGTTACATAAAACATTATCAGAGATTTAGATCAGAAAAGTACGCTTTTACAGAGAGGATCGGTTGTGGATATATTTGCGCAATTTTAATATATATACATATTTATATATTTTATTTCAGAGACGACAATTTGAAATGAATGATCGATTAGACTTATCAAGTTATCTGTTAGAACCAATACAAAGGCTTCCTCGCTACAAATTATTTTTAGTGGATCTAGTTAAAACCTATGCACAGTATGAAAATGAAAGATGTGATTCAGACTCAAGGGCATCTGATTTGAGCGTCGACAGTGACGAGACCGGTGGCAGTAATGGCGAGTGTTCCGATAATGAAGAAACGCCATTGCAAAGTTTAAAGCAAGCAAAAACAGTGATCGAAAGGATCTTGACGGCGATCGAGGAAATTATGGCGTTGGAGAATATTCAAAACTGTCCGGTAAGTGAGGATATTTAATAGTTTGTTTTAAAGATGTCTAAAAGTGCATAATATCAACTAAAAAGAAAGTTTGTTCCATTATATAGACAATAATTAAATTAAATAAGCTAGCAATTAAAAAAATTACGCAATATTTATTGTGTAATAAAATTACAGTTCAGAATCTAAGGTGACAATATGATAAAAAGTAAATGGTAAACTTGATATGTCGTCGACATTATTTATTATTGATGATAGATAACTGTCAACTAAAAAGTGCAGAGCGGTCAGGACTCAAAATTATACCTATATAATCACATAAATTTAAATGGTATATTTTACTTTGCAATTAGACATAAGACGACGAAGTTGCAAAATTAACAATTGCTACGGTTTGTTTTTGTTTACTTCGGATACTATTATAACACACTATTAAAAATTCAGAAACTGGTATTGATCGTCCATTTCTTCATATCTATACATACCTTCTATTCATATATATTGCATTAATTATTGTAATTCTCAAGACATTAACCATTCAAATCAATTGTGATATGTAAATAATATATTTAAAAAATATTATCATAAAACCGCAGTGTTTGTACTTATTTTGAGATGACAACTATTGTGTCACTTAACATTGACTTACGTATTTCTAAGTAGGTATTGTATATAATACAATGTATGATTGGCCACATTTTATAATCTCAATAATAATTGTAATGGAAGTTCTTAATAAAATATTATTTGTCTACATTATAATTAAGTAATATTTTAACTGTAATATACTGACGACTATCCTGCCACAGTTTCGAAAACCATACCAAATCAAACACGCTTGAAATATTTATAACCATTAAATGAAGTAAATAAGTTTGAAGTAATTTAATGTAGGTACATAACTGTATTATTATATACTATATGCCTACTACTTTGTATTATACATAGTGTTTGAGTAAGACACGCCCGGCTATTCCATTTTGGCGTAAACGTCTCTGTTGTCATATTTGATGTATTGAAATGATAAATATACTATTGTTAACAAGCAACGCAATAGGAATACATATATGTTTTAAGACTGTTTCAAATTATATATACATTTATATATCGCCCCACTTTCTCTCTATCCCACTCTCCAGTAGGTAAGATCATCATTTATTCGGTGACATCATATAGCTATAATATTAAATTTGTGAGTCTAAATAATACATACGTATAATGGGAATGTAAACACAAGATATTGTACCATCAAAAACCTAGACTTTTTTTTAATGAAGGTAAATCCGCCTGCTCCTGCTTATTATTACTTCAGGTCCACCTATACGGCCCCCTGGAACGGCCTGGAAACTATTGTAGATAACCACAATACTTTATAGAGGTAGTAATACCTAGTAAATTCACTATAATGACGATCTGACCTTATCTCATGGTCAGTCTATTATATTCCACTGATAGGGCACTATCAGCGTATACCGTTAGCGCAGGCGGGTGCAACATTTCATTATCAAATAGTAAAAAATACATTATTACTAATAGGGTCACTATTCCCCATTGCTAACAACTCCCAAACCCAAGTCTGATCTATCATGAATAGATAGATCATGCGCAGTCTAATGAAAGAGTCTTGAATGTCTGAAATTGGCCTGTTTTGAAGGTGTGTGTGAAGTAGGAGTTGCATATAAGAATTCTAGGTGGCACTGAAATCTCGCTACGTACTACCTACACTATGACTAACAACTGGCGTGATAATACAGATGACATGTTCTTATTTCGAGTCCATGGCAAGTTAAATACACCATATTAGGTTAAGTTCAAATATGCAAATATTCAACGGAATCTAGCCATGTGTATAGTATTGCGTTCACCACAACCTCGACAGAAGACAGTACCTCTGACTACCCTATCTGGGATAACAGTCGGTATGTATGTTTGTATGTTGTGATACTAAAATATTTTATTTACTTTCAGCCTGATCTGAACCTGTTGCAACAAGGACGGTTGTTGCGACAAAATGAATTTTATGCGATGGATGTCGTCCGACGGAGAAGACAACTCATGAGGATATTCTTATTTGATAAGCTGGTGCTGATCACTGTAGTCTTTAGGAAGGTTAGTAGCTCAGATAACATATTGTTGTTAGTAGACATTTGTAATATTTGTATTTGTAAAGAGAAGAAGAGCATAAAGAAGTCATGCAAAAACTATTTGACTTAGATTAGCGAGTCCTGAGTAATATTATAGTGACTGTAGAAAGTTTTAAGAGTGGAACTTCCTAGAAAAATTGATACCGTAATGTCTTATTTCCCGCTTGTTGAAACTTGGCAAGTTTTTGTGTTACTTTATGTATTTTATCTTTTTGTTTACCTTTCTATTTGTCTTCAAGTTTAAAATATCATTGTCAACAGGACGTTAAAAAATATGTAGGCATTTAATTATCATATCACGAAAATGATTCATAATTTAATGAATGAATCATTATCACATACACAATGAAAATATTAGCGTATATGCAAAACAATTATTGCTTGTGTCTATACCTATCCTCTGATAAGGACTACTGAGTATTTATGCGAAACATATAACATATAATACGTAAACGTACAAACCCATACCTACAAGTTATAATATAATATAACCGTATTGTAAGTATATCTATAGAAAAACGTTATTTTATTTCATAATTTAATAAATTACACCAAACATGGTTACTTTTTGTGAATTATATACATCAAAAGTTTCTTGAAATATTTTATTAGTTAAATTGTTGTTGTTTTTTTGTCATACAATGATAAGATAATTACAGTAATTTATATACAATCTAAATCAATAAGTATGAAATATTTTAATCTAAATCAATAATAAGATGATGGTAGTCTGTCTGTTTTATGGCTGAAGTTTACCCATTTCAACAATTGGCCAGTATTTTTTAGAGCCATAATATACACATATATCCTTTCTAAAGTATCAAGATTCGTAATACAGATTAAATGAAGTTTAGATTCCATATATCGTAAAACAGCGTACTAATTATATCAGTAAGTGCCACTTAGATCTTTAAATAGGTATAGTATCTTCCACTTAAACTTACATCACAATAATGATGTCTACCGCAGAGAAATGTGCTTATAACTGAAACATATATGGAGCACGCGCCATTGCCCTGGCACTCTGGCGCCAACTGTTTACCAATGAACTTATTAAATAGTTCTGTCATACTATTCAGATACAGTATTACATTCCTATTTTATGGGGATAGATATTATTGTTTCGTACTGGTATTTTAATTTAATTCGAAAAATTGAGGTTCTTTATTCGACTGTGTTTTCATCGTATCCTGGAGAAATATGATTAATTTTAAAATCGTTTACTATTTTGGTCTATTACAAATTTTGTCACGATATTAATAATTAACCGTCAAAAGTACAGCATGGAAAGTGTGCAGTAGTGTGCGTTTAGGCAGTGAAATTATAGAGTATGAGATGTGATATTTATGTTATCGAATTAGGTATTATTTTAGTATTAGTAGTATTTTAGTCCCAACGCATGAAGAGTATCAGGGTGCCACATGATAACTTTATGCCCATAGCGCTGTTCATAACCATGAAAGCACTATGGGCATATAGTTATCAGTTAGGCTGTACAACTTGCCATAAATCCAATTGCTTATAAAAATTGTGTGTAGTTTCACATATTGCTTGTTGTGGCATGACAGTTTAATGGTGAGAGCCAGTGACCTTCCCAATGCCACGCTAATTTGCCACGCGTCGTCGGCTTCGTTGTTTGTTGACACAGGAAGTCTAATGAACGTAATACGTGAGAATGTTCGCTTTGTTGTGAGTTATATCAAATACACTCGTACCATCCGAGTTTCGCCAATGCAATGTGTATTTGTAACATTTCTAAGTTATAACAGTGGAATATCATCAGTATAATTTGCATACTTTAAATGATATAAAATGATATATATACATTTGTATAAATTACATTTACACCTACATATTTTATATATTTATGTAAATGTGAATTAGAGTGTTAAATGAAGTTTAAATAAATCTTAAAATATTGTACCTATTTATTTTAGTATCTAATTGTTAGTGATGAATCATATATATATACTTACATCTAAAAGATATAACGACAAGATGAGATATTACAATGCAAACATGTACAATATTACGACATCAGACGCAAGCTTTGTAAATAAAGGTGGCAAGTGGCATAAGGGCATGACGCAATAAGGTTCACTGCATAAAATAACGCGTGAAATAATTCTAAACAACAACTGATATATTAGTAAATTATTTATAATATACCTATATATTTATTATAGTACCATGTATACTTAATATTCTTGTAAGCATCTAACTAGTTAAATAGTAGCAAATTACGTGAGTTAAAAAATAATATTAATTGTTGCGCTATATCTATATAACGGACCAGATATAGGATATTTCGGATTGATTTGAAGTTTCTCTCAATTCTTACCCTTTTTATGAATATACGTTCTGCATATTTTTTAATCATTCATATAATAATAAGAAATTATGTTATATTATAATTAATACTATCACTCTATTTTGTGGTATAGAAAAAAAATAAAAGCTCTTATTTCGTTTGCTCATTTGAATCCAACGTTGCAGTGGCCGATTGCCTGTCGTATTGGCGTTTCTTTGATGAATTTCTTAATAAAACAAATGAGACAAGGATAATGAGATCCTAACCTAGAATGCAATACAAGACAGATTCATTGTCACACACAACAATTTTAAAAATTGTATAATGTTAGTTTCGATCTGATAACCAAGTCACTAGTCAGCACATTGTAAATAGTACGTTTTGTATTGCATTCTTGGTTTTTCAATCAATAAGAATACCGATAATGAAGAAAACATTTTTATGATATTTCAGAGTCCAAGAGTAGAATGCTTTATTTACAAAGATCACATACCAGTAGATGATTTGGGCATTACGGCAAAAGTTGAAGATCACTTCAAATTTTCTATATGGTACAAGAAGAGAAACCTCAAGTCCTACAAGTTGGAAACTAGTGACACTGCAGTGAGAACCGCGTGGGTAGATGATATCACTACCTTACTTTGGGAGCAGGCTATGGAGAAGAAAGGTAATGACTGCTTACATAAATATGTTATTCGAGACTAACTTTGTCGCCTGTTTATTCCAGATGTCACAAGTGGCATTTCATACTTAGATTGTGTTCAGAAATACTAGGGGTAGTACGTCGTAAACCATGGGCATCATGGCACTATTATAACATTGCATGTCACTACATTAAACGGTTATCAGGAAAATTCCAAGCAATAGGTTTTTTATTTGTGACATTGCTCGTAAATATAGAACCAAAAAGTGAAATATGTCAAGTGTAGATGATAATGTAGTCATACAAAGAAACTAGTGCTATCAAAGTGTCAACGTCATTACCTGTAAATAGATAACCTATAAAATGTTTAGATATCTATTTTGTTGACGTATTTGATTATCACGTGATTGCTACCTTTCAATGTTCGCTGTTACTACTACTTGTTCTGATTATTTCAAGGCGACAACGTTTATGATGCTTTTAAAAAAATATTATTGCAATCTCAAAGAAGTAGTAAGACGTTTTGCTGATTCTGTTATAAACTAGTCATTGTGGTGAACGTAATACAGCACTTTACCGCATTGCATCATGTATTAAAAGGGAACATAACTAAAATTAGTAAAATCGAATTTGTTGTTTTTCATACTTCTTAATACGAGATCAGAATAGAGATGTGTTACCGGTACTACCGCTAAGGGTAACTTTTCTATTTTTGTACTCTTATAACCCCTGCAATTATTTTTGTTAATCTGTTAAATATAATACGACACATTGTAGATGTACTATTATTAGGTCACGATTTACTAATCGTCCAGGTCATCTTCTAAATTGATTTAATGCTTAATGTGTTAATTTTGTGTTATTATACAATTAATATGCTATTTAGTGCTTTACACTCATACATAATAATTTTGTTATTTTTTACTTTTATATGCATAAGCTGAGTGTTTTGTTGATACTTCAGCTGAAATAAATTACAGCCTCGAAAATTAACATCGTAGGTAGAATACTACAGTGGATCGTAAATAACGTAAGAAGTTCATTTAAAAAATATATGCTTATATTATTTTTCATTAGATTTATCGAAATAATTCGTATTAGATTTATCGAAATAAGTTAAGTCATAGTTAGATTATACTATATTCGGTGCTATTTAAGTAAAGTAGAATGGTGGTATTATGTAATGAAATACCTAGCATTGTATTGAGTTGTGCAGTATTGGGAGAGTTATAGCATAACTCTTGTTTAGTTAACACTGTTATGAGAATAGTGTTGGCATGACTGCTATTAACTCAGAATAATTTAGTAACGCTGTATATATAAAAATAATATGCACAAATCACTCAGCGCCATCTACAAGCAAAGTTTGTGTTGAGGGTAGTAAACAACTGATAGAATTATATAAAACTTTTTTCGTTAATACATATACATACATAATACATACATACACAATATCCAAACCAATACAAACAATGCATCGTTCGAGTTAGCTACTAGCAAATAAATGTTTGCAAAGGGCGTGGAATCGAAACTGCGGGTATCGGAAGTAAACTAAGGCTAAACCGCTAGACCATCAAGCCTTGCATAATACGATTACATAAACAATATGTTTAATCATCCATAACGCCATCAGTATGTACATAGAGATAATATTAATGCAAGGAACATAATCTTGACAGTAGTACAGTTAATGTACGGTCGGCGACCTCATTGAGAGTACTCGGCGAAGTTAAGTCGAGCCTATTTCTCATAAAGAAACTTGTTGAATCCATCTGGCACGCAAGTCCAACCGAACTAATTCCCGCATAGTTAATACGTACAAACTTTTTAATTGATCGTCATCTGCTCCCCGTGTTTGTACGTGACGGAAGAACTGCGAGCTCCTTTATCGTCACTGATGGCTGACGCACTCGGGGTCGACGACTGTGTTTTTTATTAGGCACTTGTCGAGTTGCATGTGCACTGAGCTGCATCTGTGGGAATGTGGCGGATATACTTTTTTTTCAATTTGCTTTTTGTCTTGCGTTCGCGTTGCGTTTTTATTACTTGTTTTTTATTGAACACATTTGCAAAGTTCTCCAATAAAGCGAAAACTTCCGAGTTTGTAATTTGAAATTATGAACTGTTTTTTTTAAACTTAGCACAAATAACTTCAATCCTGTTCAGTTATAGCCTCTAGAAGACTACTACAATTTTACTATAATATTTCGTTTCTTACATAAATTAATTCATGTAAAAAACGAAATATCCGGGCCCTTACTTGAAGATTACTTATAAGTCTCATGTGAAAGATACATACGAGTACCTATAGATAGAATCATTGCGTTATTGAGAACACTGAACCTCTACTAATAAAGAGAAAAGGTCGCACGCTCTGCTACATAATTATTCTGTTTTGTTTACTATTTATTGCATTGAAATGTGTTGTAAGTACTATTATTCCGCGTAAACGGCTGTTGCTTTCTGATAATTACACAGGGGAACGCTACAACGAAAGTGCGATCGTTTCTGACTCGGGCTTTTACCATTTCACATTCCTCGCGAAGATTACTCCGATAAGAGTAAACTGGCATTTAAATCTTTCTGGTAACACTTTTCTTTGTTACCACATGCTTATTTAGCGACAATTGCCATTTCCTCAAATAGTACAATAGCCTTTTGTCTAGTATGAAAACAAATTTGAAAACATGTCGCGATTTGAGTCGTAAATGAGTCACGTCCATATGTGATTGCAATACTGGCATATTTTATTTAAGTGTTTGTATCGATACTATTATTACTAGATTTGCCTTCGATTACGTTACACCACGCCGTGCTTACCACGACTTATGAAAGGTACGAATATGGCTGACACCAGAAAATGACTGAACGTATGTCGTGTATGTAATTTTATATGTCTAATTGCTTTTTCTATGATGGAAACATCGATAACAAACCAAATTATTCCGAGATATGGCATTCCGATCGTCCCCGTACTAATTCGAATATGATCAGTGAAATTTGGCTTTTAGCAAGACATCTACATTTAACAATGCCTCTGACCACTGCATCTGAGATAACATGATATAATTATAGTTACACTTAAGTGCAGTACCTATATAACAAACGGGTACATAGTTTTTACTTACATCTTATTATACCATGTTATGCAATACGATCGCTTGAGCTATCTACGTACTGATGTAGTTCCCGTTCGCAATAGCAATATAAATGAATATTACAACACAATAGCATCGATATAAAGTGCATCCGACTCTATATAATACTTGTGTATGCAGATACTTTTGTTGTGGTATTGGTTGTGATTGATTTGGATGAATAATACAGTATGTGTGTCACTTATGTTTTTGTTTGGAACAGAGACAAGAAATTGTTGTTTTGAAACTTAGGGGAACCCAGAGTACGTTTAAAGTATGTAATATTCTGTTATCTGTGGTTTAAAGTAAGCTTCATATCCGTTAAATGTTAATTTAAGTTACCATAATTATTATTTCAGTAGAATCACAATCAGCTATCTTATTTTTTCTCTCGATGTCTTATTATGTGATTGATGATTATTAATCATCGGTTCACATATATAAACAATCATTTATCTAATATGGAAGATGCTTCCCCCATTTACTATCTTTAGTAATTGGTCGGTATTCGTATTCACCGTCTTTCTACAACATAATTGAGATCGTCATTCCATTCGGGGGTCCCCGTCAACACTGTGTTTGCCAGTATGGCGACAATATGCTACTGGAGCACCATTCATTTTCCTAGGTTAGATCAGTCTTTTGAGCTACGTTTTTGAGTTTAGAGCGCAATCATGGCTTACAATCCAATTAAACTCGTCCTTTCTCCAAAGAAAGGACGAGTTTGTGCAGAGTATACATCTATAGAATGTGTCATTGTATATAGTATAAATATAAAAGTAATGTTTTATATATCTTGGTTTTAAGTGTTTGGTATAACAATATTGTACAGGTAATCGTGTTATGTGTGAATTACAAATCTTTTTCTATTTTGTGTTCACAAGTAAGGAGAATAATCCCTATCTCTACAGGTACTGCAGGTAGTTTGATATCGTATTGAATAAACGAAACCCGAAAACAGAACCCTTTTTGAGATCACTTTGTTGTCCGTCTGTCTATACATGGACCCTTTTCGCTCCACAACGGAGTACTCTCTATTGACCCAGAATATTAAATTGGTACTAAGATACATTTCTTCACTAGATAGACAGATAATTTGAAAACCATTACGTAATTCAAAGATAGATTTTAAAATTATAAAATCTACCTTTGCATAAACATAATTTATACATATGGAAATGGCCCTAAGTTACGTATAATTCTATCTATATATATATATATTTATATTTATATATATATATGCCTATAAAAGTAAGGCGGCTTATTAATTATACATATTATATTTCACATTATTTACTTGCAACTTGAATGGTTAATCTAAAGTTCAATAAAAATGTATTTAAAAATGTCATTGTCTAGTTGAGTTATATATAAAAGGTCGTAAGTTTAATAATTTATATTTGTGGCATATTCTCCATTGGCTCACTTTATGTTCGTTGTATTCAAATCAATCAAATATCCCTAAAGTGGTCATGTCAAGTTCACCGCGACGTCGACAGTTTTTTTTTATACTACTATGGTGCATACGGCCCATCTGATGGTAAATGGTTAACGTATTGACGCCTGAAGCACCAGGGGTGTCACGTGCGCGTTGCCGACCCTTAAGAAACCTTAATATACCCTTCTTGAAAAACCCCATGCTGAAGTTCGTGAGAAAACCTCGGCAGGAAGTTCATTCCACAATCTAAGTGTACGCGGGAGGAAGCTCCTCTGAAACCGCACTGTCCGAGACTACTTAGGTTCCAGTGTGTGGGAATGAATTCCCTGTCGATGGCGAGTGGTGCGATGGTAAAAGGTGGCCGTAGGCATCATGTCGAACAATTCCTCAGAACACAGTCCGTTGTATAATTGGTAGAACACACAAAGCGAAGTCGAAGCAAAGTCTCGCCTCAAACTAAGTGGCTCGATACCGTCAGAGAGATTGACAGTGGACATTGCCATTGATTGGATTCTGTGAAAATTATGATGTTTAAATACTTTTGTGATAAAGTCACGATTAGTCGGTATTGAACTGTTAGGATCTATTGGGGTGAAAATAAATAGATAAATTCATTAATTAAAAACAATAAATAATATATCGTCATGATTGATTATCAAAATTTTCGAAATTAATAATTAATATATTATTGCTCTTTGCACTGTATTATAAATATGACATTCCACTTAATAACTGAAATAAGGCTTCAGTTCATCACCTCAACAAAATGTTGTTGATCATTAATATTATAATTGACAAACTCAAGAGACAAGCTCTCGAGTTTGTCATCTATTATGGCACAAATTCCATTATTATTATTGATATATTTTTAGTGAACTCTCTTAATCAAAAACTTGATTAAGAACACCAATTTAGAGACAAATTAATACTGGAAGATATTTCGTTTATAGCTATAATTTTTCTTAGCCCGAAAACTTAAAGATTCTACACGTGACACCAAAACTAGGGTTAATATCGTAACAGTAATAGGCTCTGGATTGATTAGACTGTAAAAACTCATCTATTATAGCCGCCAAGGAGCTTGCTTTTAAGTTGTGTTCGGTTTTTGGGTGCAGATCAGGCACTAAAATGACAAAATAAAAGGGATGACATCTTATCCCTCTGGAATGATGACCTATGTTACGGTGTAGTAGAGATACGGGTGTGACATGATAACGTGATATTCGTAGTACATAAAAAAAACAGATAAACTCGTGAGTCTCGATATCGGGTCGATATCTCAGACCCTGCCTGCCCCATTTTACCCCCCACCTCCACTGTTCCAATATTGCCTGTGATTTCAGTATGGTTTGTAGGCCATTTAGCTACTAATTGTAAATATGTCGCAATATGTCGTGGAACGCAAGTAACTCTTATCGGTTCTGCTGTTTATCACTAAACCTACTTAGGCAGGTGCGGCTCAGTGTGATACGGACAGGTAGATAATCATTTATTTAGATGTAATTTTCTTATTCTAATTATATTGGAGGTCATCGGAATTTTAATCTATTTGTTATTCTAAATACACAAAAAAATATACTAGTGATAGTCGTTCTTATTAGCGCCTACACTTGAGACTCCGGAAAAAAATTTTGCTATGTTAAATTATTGAAAAAAATGGATTTGACGATATTTTATTGCTTATATAAAACACAAGTTTATATGAAATTTTAAGTATCATTATATGATCTAGGATTTGCACTAGTTTATACCATATGCTATGAAATATATAATATTTGTAAAGAGTATCCATCAACAACGCATGGTGGACCCACTGTCATTTACAATGGTACAAATACAAAATACATAATTGAACTACGTAGTCGACCATCACTTTTGAAGTTATCACTGGCCCTTTCATCGTCCTATGTCAACACAAACGTATTATTCGACACATGTTTCACCTCTTTACAAATCAGCCTCAGAAATAGAAATAGAAAAATTCTTTATTCAAATAAATTGAAATTTAAGCACTTCTGAATAGTCATATTTTTTGTTATTATTTATCACTCCTTTGCAAAGCACAGGCATCACACGATGAAGTTTATTTATTTTTAAGTTAAAATATGTATGAATACAAACTATCAAACTGCGCGAATTCATAAGTCTCAAATAAAGTTAATTTCAATTCATATGTAACGATACCATATCTGTTAATCTAAAACATGGACATTGCTGTGTCAAGTTTAAGTTACATTCGGACTTAAGCATAATTTAGATACATCTAATGTTCAAGCAACTCCACAAACTATATATCTGGAATAATAATGTAATCATAAAAAGTCCGATATAGACTTTATAAAAAATCGTCTGCATTATAAAAATAATCTGTACTAACTATCTCAGTCGCCAACCAGCTTGCTTCATAAGCTGTATTTCAGTTGAAGGGAGTAGAGATAAAGCAAAAAGAGAGAGAAAAGAAAAACAGAAGGAAATAAGAGGTAAAACATTTTACTCCCTTGGAATGGTAACGCAGGGATCGTATGACAGGAGTTACATTATAACGCGATGTTGTAGTGCTGTTGTTTGTATGTAGACGATGGTTACCACTTACTATCGCATAAGCAGTTACCTAGGTTGTTATTTAAGTTACATAAAATAAAAATGAATAAAATAATAATATCAAAACATATTGTATTCCAGAACTAATACTGGAGCAGCGTAAGAAACGGATTTCGATGAATAGGCAGGCCTCGGACGAGAGTGACAGCAGAAACGACGATAAATGTAAGTAGACAAGTAATAAAAGCACCTATTTAAACGTCAAAGTCATTATAATACATGCTTTGTCTTTGGCTTTTACAATAGACACTGACGCACAAACCAGTACCTTTTAGTTTTCTTGAGCATTTCTAAGGAATCCTTCATTGAGGACTCGTAGGTCAAGTAATTAATAAAACCTATTCTAAAATTTTAATATTTTGTAAGTTGATAAATGCCCAATAACGACATTTGTTTTCGCAAATCTGATATTAGTATTATTTCATATTTACTTACTTATTAGGTAGAGTCATTAAATAATTATAATCTAATTAATTAATGAAAGCTTTTATAAATAATAACAGAGGTTACTGATGTCGTGGTAAGTATGTGGCTAGATTACATAATTAATTATGTAATTATATCATATATCTGAGAAATGTAATATATAATAATATAATGTAAGCATTTAATAAGTGACGTGTAATTTATTTGCATGAATATTGTACTAACTTGTAGTAGTATAATCTGGTAACTTGTAGATTTGTTCCAATGAATCCTATAACAACGAATTAATTTTTAACTTCTATTATTTACAGATAATTTTATATTGTAATTGTATTCATTTTATATTATATTATAAATTTATTTTATTATTATAATATTAAATATATTATAAGCACATATTTACTTTTTAAATTTTAATATATTATAATAGCCTATATTTTTTGTTTTTCAGAACTAACACAGAAGGAATAAATCCGTATCAATTAATAAAATTCACAAAGTGTAGGTACTTAAAATAATTTCCGTCGAATTTGTAATGTCAACTTATCTTTTTTAACACTTTTTTATATATTATTTCTTTATATATTATATTTCTATTATATATATATACACATATATGTTTATAATATCAATACACTATACTATCAATAAATTTAAAAGTAAATATTTAAGTGAATTACATAAATAAATGTATATTGATTTACTTAAATATACAGAAACGTCTTTCCTCCAGGTCCATTAGATGGTTTCGTAGTCGTGATGTTACACCACTGATTTGCTTGTAGGTCAGTAAATTTTAGGCAATCTTCCAATCTAATTTAGTGCAAGGTTTGGCTCTATGTTCCCTTAGCTTTTAGATGCGAATACGGATATATTCTTATGAGGCTTGCATTCTATTTATTTCTTCCTTTCACTCATCTTTTCTAAGTCATAATTGCAATATGAATTAAGTTTGTAGGTACTCGTAACAATATAAACTAAGATAAAAGTGAACAAAGGGCTATGACTTTTGATGTAATATATATGGTTTATAGTTTTACGAATTATATTAAGCAATGTAGTTTGCTTCAAAAAAAAGTTTGAAAACTCTTCAAATTGATAGATAGCTCTATGTGAATTATCCAGGGTTATTATTGTTATGACGTTGAAGTTTAATAATATTTATTTCATTCATAATATAGTTGTACTATTATTACCTGTTTATTTAGTTCAGTAGTATAGGTGTGTTTGCTTTATGCTTTCGTTAATTATTTCTTTAATTTCTATAGCGCTTTACATTTGTGGTACTATGAAGTAGTTATTTGTTTCTATTTATTGTATCGGCTTTCTATTAGGTATTGGGTATTTAATTCGTTTCTAAGATTATTAAGATTATGATATAATTTTATATAATTAAATAGAAATTAATATAATGTAAAAATACTAGTATAATATTATGAAATATTAAATATAATATTAAAATAAGTAAACCCTGAACTGTGAGGCATCCTTACTACTTTAAAATTTGAAATTGTTGATTATGTCTAAACTAATAACTCATAAATTGCTTATTAATGTCTAAACGCACAAGATATTGTGAGGTTTGAGGGTACTTAATGTTGATCTCATTGAAATAAACTAGTATTCATTACCAGAGCTTCTTGATTTAATCAACAAATAAAGTTACCTACAACATGTTTTGTTGTGAATAAAAATGTAATTTACTTTTTCCTTAAAACGGCGAAATATGTTCCCAGTTATAATTGTAACGAAATATTGCTGGAAGACGAACGACGACGAACGAAGAATTTTTTAGTTAAACCTCTTTTTAATCACTAGATAAGACAACAGTGCCATCTATTGTTGTTATATAATTACTAAAGCTTGCATTGCTATATTGTAAGAGTATTGAATAAGAAGAAGATCAAGGACGAATATATAATGCGATGAGAGTAATAAAAGGCATCGCTGTAACCATCAATATTTTTCTGATTGTTGTCATATATAAAATAATATAGTTATTATAAAAAACACAGACAAAAGATATATAAAACAGTTTTATACATCTTTTTATTTAGGTAGGCAACTGATATAATATTCACTTAGTTTAAATTTGTAGTTAATAAATAAAACATAAAGATTTGATAGATCGAATGAACTCAAATAAAAATAATTTTTAACTAGTACCTAATGTTAAAAATGAAAAACTGTATTGTATGACTGCCTCTCTATTTGGATGTCCATGTAAAATCATTATCATTATTTGATATATTTATTATATTTTAACGATTTAGTATGCTGTAACTTAACAATTTAAACTTTAGGTGTCTCTTTTTGAAAAACAAGAATACTTAATTATATATTACATATGTTTACTATAGAACTCACTACTTATTGTACCTGTGTACAATTCTTATAATCTGGTACAAAAATTTCATTGTAATACGTATTACTTGTGAAGACTTCTGTTCATTACTATTGATTTTGTAAATTATTAGTTGCCATGGATATGTAGTAATTCCTACATTTTTTCTTTTTTTTTAGATAATTCACTTCGTGGAGTACCAGGCGAGGTTGGTAATAATATTGAGAAGAAAGTACGAAGAACCACGTGGTATTATGAATGAGCATATAAAAATAACATTTTTTGCATTTAAATTTTCATTTCAAATTATTAGTTTATTATAACGACAAAGAAATAATCCCAAGTGGAAAGGATTTTTAAATTACAATAAGTATTAATTTTTATTTTCTCTACAAACTTAAATAATATGCATAGATATAAAAAATAATATTGTTAACAATACTTATTTAAGATTGTGTGAGATTACAGACTGAATTGGTCAAGAATCCTATTAAAACGAACCGTGGGATTAAATATAATTCTATTTATTATAATATTACCAAAGACAAGTTAAATTGATAACAAAGAATGAGGTATTCAACATTATTAAACAATGTTTAACAATTAAATTGTATATAGGTACGTAATTATTGTGTATTAGTGATAAATATATTGAAAGAAGAACAAACTGACAAAACCTAACTGGTTATATATCTAAGAGGTTGCCAAGGTATTGTAATAAATTTTTACGATATGTTGAAACAAAGTTAACACATATGTTATATGAAAATGTATTTAATTTTGTACTCATATAGAAAATTCAGTCATTAATTTTGTTGATTCCAACATGTTATTTATTGTTTAGATTCCTGTAAATAATTATACTTAAATGTTATTCTAGACTATAAGTTATTGATATAAATTGTGGTAAACAATATCAAAATAAATAATCATTTGTAATATTTTCTTATTTTATTTGTGTCGGGTATTTATATTGTCAGATAAGCAGTGATATAAGACTTCGATAAAAAATTCATTCTAGATTCGTAATCTAAGTTGTCAATATTATATACTTTAAGTATTTGTACAATAGATGTTTATATTTAAAATCGTACAAAAAGTATTTTTATGTATGATTTATTTGGACACATCTAACGACAAAAATTATCGTTTTTGTTTGTTGGCAATAAGTTAACGGCCTACCTGATGATTAATGGTAAACGTTAATTACATATATATGTATATCTGTGTATAACATTATGTGACGCCCCTGGCACCACTTACGCGTTGTCATTCCGTAGGACTAATATGTTATGCACCAGGACACTGTAATTTCCCTGCCTTATCTATTCAGCTGAATTATATATTACAAAGCAAGCTGCAGAGAGCAGACGGTAGTTTATAAATATTTTGTATAATTATATTATCTAAGACCTGAAGAAATAGTAAAAAACCTAACATAATAGTGGTATGTTCAAATGGTAAGAGGTTTTTTTCATATTAGATCCACAAGAACTAATATGGTGCATTTAATGGGTAGGTACCTAATACATGCCATTTTGGTTTAGAACCGAGTGTAACGATGCATGGTGTGCTGCATTATGTTTATGAAAGAAAAAACAAACACGTAAAACATGAAGCATAACTAAAACTATAATCATATAGTAATGAAATCTTATATTATTTAAATAATAATAGTTATATTATTTATAATTTAATAAATTTATAGACACTTTTGATTTAATAGATTTAGAAATGTTTATCGTTCCATTTTGTTTCATATTACACAGAAAAGTCTCAACAAGTTTACCGCAAGTAGTAGTATTCACCGGGAATGCTAAAACGTACTATGTATTTGTAGTAAAGAATGTAAAATAAAACATTGAAATACCTCTATGTAGGTACTTGAAATCCGCAATGCGAAAAATTATAGCTATGCCTGCGAAGTGGGGCGGAATATTCTACCTGAAGGCTAAATTTTATTGCCTTGCGCTGTTTTCGAACAATTGCATTAATAGTGTATCAACGGAGCGCCCGCCGGCTTCTTTACGGCTATGGAGTCGGGCGTCGGAATACAATTAAAGTTTTAATATTTTAACACCGTGGAATCACAATTTGGACTGAAGCAGTGAGCTCTGTGAGCTGGTATTATTAAATGCATAAAGTAAACTAATTCTTGTTCTTATTTGCACTTTAATGCCCTCTTATGTCGAGGCCAGGGCAAAAACGTCAAGGGGGAACACTAATGCACTATACAAGTGCAGCCATTGTTCTATGGATGTGTGAGTTAGGAAAACGTTGCTTTCTTTTATGCATTTTGCTAAGCCGGTAAAGAAACAGCCATACTAATGCCACAATATGTCAAATTATTAATTTTTATCTATATAGAAGAGTTAGGTATATGGTAGTAATTAAAATAATAAGTAGGTTTTAGTATATCACAGCTTGGAAAAATAATTAATATTTTTCATGGTTATCATGATTTTAATTTTAAAACTATTGGATGTTTGATTTATGTTAGCAATAATTTATTTTTAATATATACCAATATAAAGCTGAAGAGTTTGTTTGTTTGTATGAACGCGCTCAGGAACTATACTAGCAGGAATTGAAAAAATCTTTTTGTGTTTAATAGAGTCAAATAGACTGTACTAACACAAAAATATAGTCGAGTAAGGCTTTAAGCTATATAACATTACGCTACGACCAATAGGAGCGGAGCTGCAATGAAAAATATTGCAAAAGGTGATGAAATGAAACGCAGACGAAGTTGCGCGGGTCAGCCAGTTTAACATATGTTTACATTCTTTTACATGAAAACTTTAATACCATGTAGAGTATTTTCTTGTGTCGACCAAAACAATGTTATATAATGTCTTTTCCATTTCTTCGTGCTCCGTATTGAGGCTAAATTATTTATTTTAGTAATAATTATAACATTACAGTTAATACTCGTACAGAAACTTTGCCACAAAATTAAAATCCTTGGACGTAAAAATAAATGGGCAGGTTCTAAAGAGTATATATGCAGTAGTAAACGTGTGTTTACCACTACACTTTACCCCGAACAGGCTATTCAAATTTCATTGCCCGTAGTAAAATATTCAATTAAAGACTTCGTACACACAAATATAGGAGAATTCGGAATAATTGTCATATACAAATTTGAAAATGAAATTGATCTTCGGCGATTCAAATAAAATAGTAGTAGTATTTTCCTCCCTTTCTCTGAGTATTATCCTTACACCAATAGTTACTAGTCAATATGTAATTTATATAACATTTGTGGTTTTTTTTACAATTATTAGCCTTATTATTTTCTGTATTCCAAAGAACAGTTTCGTGCAAAACGCGAAATGACGTCTCAGCGGATGGGGAGGTTTACGGCGCCATTTCTCTGAGCCCGACTTGTTTCGACAGGAGTTCTTTGGCGGCGTCTTTAACACTCCCTTGAGGTTTCATTTATATATTCGTAACACGGAGGCGGCAATAAAACTGCGTTATCCTGGTCATTATTTAGTCATCGCCCGAGCTCATCGCCTCTCCATGAAAATAAAATGCAACCGAATGCCTGTTGATATGATGCAGGTTTATGCATCAGGATATTGAATTTTGTATTTTACGGATACTTATTATTACGTAAAATTTATTTCAGACTACACTTAAGTACCGAGTTATATATTTAGTGTTTTTATATTACTAAATGAATTCATGTAGGTATGTATATTTTTTTATACTACGATGGTGGCAATCAAGCATACGACCCATGTGATGGTAAATGGCTACCGTAGCCTATGGACGCCTGAAACACTAGAATGCAATAAGGTCGACTCTATATGTGACGTATATCTGTATACCTATCTGCAAAAAAACTTCATGACCTTAGTTTAGCTAGATACAAAAAGAAAACTTTATAACCACAATTACATCAGAAATAAAATAATTAATTGATTTTACTTAGACTAACTTTACAAAGAAAACGATGAGAGTGGATAGGTATGAATTAACAAAAATTCATTCAAATTTCTATTTAAGAAAAATTTATAAATACTGAATCACGTCACTGTATTACTTTGAATGCTAAAATTCATATTATAATAAATGTCTTCCCGGAGCAATTGCTTGTATTATTAAATCAAGAAAGGAATTGTACTATTTAAAAATTAAAGTACCTTTCTTGATATCTTTTTATGTAATTGGAACCCCAAACAAACATCACCAAGCATAGATGACCTCATGGTGTATGCATTGTTTATCAGGTACGAAGAATTAGAAATTGAAATAATCGTTATTCAAATAAATTTAATATAGGCGATTCGAAAGGACGCAGACTCATCACAAGAAGAACGAGCAAGATATTTACGTGTTGCATTATTATACATATGTGATGACGCACACATCCTCATGGGACAGCCGTGCGTTGCCATTCCAGAGAGAGACGATGAGTTGTATCTCTGTGCCCTGTAATTTCACTACTCATCTTACTGAGTAAGCTGCTTGGAGATAAGTATCTCGATTAAATAATAAAAGTATCACATTTGTTGGTTGATAGATATATTTAGTTAATAGCAATTTCGCTGGAATTAAATTTAGTTATTTGAATTACCTCAGGCGTTATTTTTCATAGAACTACTGGATGGATTACAAAAATAAAGCTCTAACTCATATTAAATAAAATTTACAGTTATATTTTTTTAGTACTTTCCATCAGGTGGGCATTGATTTCTATTTACATCAAAAATATAAGATTGTAAAATAATATATTTAAAAAAAAAAGAATATTATAACAATTCATTAGATTCCTGTGTGTAGTTTTATTACAGACTATAAAAACATTACATGAATACCATTTATGGTTTTTGTTATTAATTGAATTTAGATATTATCATTTTCTAAAAGTCACGAATATAAAGCAGTAAACATAAGTGGAATAACATTTTTGCGAATATTATCGAGAAACATTAGTTAGGGTATTGGTCATAGTTCACGCTCAGTTACCAGCTAGCCATTTTATTAGTCGGCCCCGGGCGCCGCCGCTAAATCTCCTTATTTATCCGGGAAAACATAAACCAAAGCCTCAGCAAAAATTAATTGGTCACCAAGCTCTTTCGTGTCACCCATTAAGTATTTGATGGTATGGTTTATTGTTTCGTATTTGTATCTGCTACAACTTCTGTGTTAATACGTTTACTATCTATTATTTTGTATTTTATACTTATACTAAAACAAATGAGTAAGTACACACTACATATATCCAAGAATAGTTCTCTTTAATTTATTTTGACATAAACAGTGAATACAAATGCATATTTTGAATTCTTTAGCGACAATCTTATAAATGACTGTAACATATTTATGATATTACAATAATAAACCTTTTCAGTGTTGCCATATAATATAAATAAATTGTTTACGATACACATTAATTTGGCACAATTTATTTAATATATTATCTACAATATATATTATGTACTTATATCATATATTTTTTTTATAACTTCAACAAGCATTCGGTTAAAGAGCTTCCAAGACGTCTGCATCTCGTATAAATAAATAAACTTCAAAGCACGTGTTATACCAGACTACTTTGCTTTTTATTTTTATGGGGGACGAAATTTGGCGTGTTGCTGAAACGGCGGATCATAACCGTTGGACACAGCAACTGTTTGCAATCCTATCCGTAAACCAAGCGCTGTTCACTAAGAACCCACGCCAATATAAATATGGACTTTGTTTTACACGAATAAAGTTACTTATTGCACTAACATAAAGAGTAGGTGATGTGGTTGCATTTACGAGCTCTCTTTGTTCACGCGTAGCGATTTTATTTTAGTTTTCATAAAAATCGCCGCTTTCACCTGCTATGTTTGGAAGGGCTGTTTGTGGCAAATTGTTGGACACACTTCATTAAAACTATTCAAGTTTCGAACGAATTCATTT